CCTCTCCTCTCCTCTCCCCTCCCCTCCCCTCCCCTCCTCTCCTCTTTCTGCCTGTGGGTGGTCTGCAGCCCAGCAGCGCTTACCTGCGTGGCCCCCATGTGCCCCCCAGACACCAGCAGCATAAGCTGACCTCTGACCTGCTCTGGGAGGGTGGGAGCTGGGGTTCAGGCCCCTGGCCTGGAGGCATCCACCCCTTCTCCGGAATGAGGAAGGAAAGCTGGCGACCACCCCCGGAACCAGGCTGTGGTCTGGGATTTTCCTGGCTCTCCGCCCTCCCCGGGCACCCGACTCACCTCTCGGGGTGCCTTTTGCCCGCAACCTGTCTGGCTGGGTCTGAGCAGGCCCGGGATGGGTGGGGCACCCTGAGCCTCCCACCCTCCTGCCGCCCCGCCCTGTTCCCAGCACTCCGGCCTCCAAGTCAGGCGCCCCAGACGCCAGGGGCAGCCGAGTCGGGCACTGGGGGGACCCCTGGAGCACACGACTCCCTGGACACCAGCAGCAGCCAAGCTGAGCACTGGGGGAACCCCAAGAAACAGGCGGCTCCCCTGAACCCTGCTTGCCTGGGACAGCCAAACCAGGGACTAGGAGAACCTCAAGAAACAAGCAGCTCGTCTGAGCCCCACACGCCTGGGGCAGCCAAGCCGGGGACTGGGGAGACCCCAAGAAGCAGGCGGCTCCTCTGAACCCCCCCCAAGCCAGGGACTAAAGGGGGGAACCCCTGAGGAGGAGACAGCTCCCCTGCGTCCCTGGCCGGGGCCATGCCGCCTGGCACCCACTGAGCCGCGCCATGGCCCGGGCCCTGAGCTGGCACTGCTGCCCCTGGTGCCTCACGGAGGACGAGAAGTCAGCCGCCCGCATCGACCAGGAGATCAACAGGATCCTTCTAGAACAGAAGAAACGGGACCGAGGAGAGCTGAAGCTGCTGCTGCTGGGTGAGTCTGCAGGGACGTGGGGTCAGTAGCGAGGGGCTGGAAGGAGACGGGAGGCCCATCTAACAGATGAGAAGACTGAGGCTCCACGGGCCGCCTGAGAGCGCAGAGGCACCCGCCCTGCAGCTTGTGACCCCTGGAACGACAGCTCAGATGTCTAACCTGCCAGGCCGGGCAGGAGCGCCTCCAGCCTGTCCCTCCCTTCGTCCCAAGCCACAGAACCTCCCAGTGCTCTCCTGTCCACTGGGGCTCGGCCAGCAGGAGGCCAGCATGGTGGACGGTCGGGAACCCATTCATTCATTCACTCCTCTTTCTCTGAGGCCCTCTCCTCCCTTGGCATCTGCTGTTCATCAAGCAGCAGGATCACTAGTAGACTCAAAGGCAACTTGCAACAGCACAGAAAGGAGCCCTGCTGAACCAGAGGTTGGTGGTTCGAATCCACCCAGCACCTCCTCCAAAGAAAGGCCAGTGGTTGACTCCTGTCATGCTCAGAGCCTAGGAAATCCTGTGGGCAGGTCCCCTCTGTCCTGCAGAGTCACCAAGAGTTAGCTTGATGGCGCACAACAGCATCTGCTGCTGTACAGCTGAGGGACACAGCCTGAACGGGCAAAGAGGGGGTTCTGCCCTGTGGGCGTCATCTACCAGCACAGAGGGTGACGGACAGGAAGCTGTAAGAGAATAAGCAGATGAAGGGTTTCAGGGCGAGGAGAGGCAGAGGGGGCTGGGGCACCTTGGGGCGGCCCCGAGTAGAAGGCCCCAGTAATCTGAAATGAAGGGATCGTGCCACCCATGTGTGTCTGCTCGCCCCACCACCTTCCACACTCCCGACCTTCTGACCCCAGGAACTGCTGGAACTGTGGGAGCTCTGAGGATGAGGGGCCAGAGAAGACCCTGGGCCCCTCAAGAGTGTCAGCATTGCACTGGCTGTCTGTGGGCGGGGGTGGGGGAGCAGGTCCGGTGCACGTGTGGACAGCTGCTGTCCTCCTCCACTGCCGAGCAGGAGGGAAGGGTGGGGAGAGGGGGTGGGGGGCAGGGGACCTTGGGAAAGAGAGAGAGAGAGGAAAATGCTTGCTCGGATTTTTCATCTGGACCAGGAAAGTTTTTAATTATGAATTGTGCTTCTTTAGAAGATGCTTCTGTTTGATTTCATTAACAGATAGATATTAGTAACTATTGAGGCTGTTTCTTCTTGGATGAGTGTTGGTCCTTCTGTCTTTCCAGGAACGTGTCCATTTTTTCCAAGTTGCCAAATGTGTTTGGAGACAAGCTGTTTCTGACGATTGTGTCGTTGGCCTCTGGCCGCCTGTGTGATCTGTACAGCTGCCCCTTTCACCTTCCAGACGTTGGATAGCGTGTCTTTGCTTCATTCTCCTTCTGATCCGTCAGCATCGCTAATCATTTCTCTTTCCTGAACATCTCAAGCTCATTCCCCCTCACTCAGGGCCCTGTGTTTGCTATTGCTCCTGCCAAGCGCTCTCCAGTCACCCAGACTACCCCGTGGCCTGCTCCCTCGCCTCGCCCCACCCGTGCAGGTCTCAGCTCTTCCTCTGAGAAGTCTTTCCTGATCCCTTGACTGCAAAGACAGCCCCTTCATTCTCCTTTCTTTGTCTCCCTTCATTGTCCTTTCTTGCTTGCTTGACACTCCACCCTCAGCTGTCTTGTTGGAGAAGAGCACTGAACAGCCCAGGGAGGCCAAAATAGCAAACAGGTCATGGATAGGGTGCAGCTGGAATGCACTTTGGAGGCAGGAATGATGAGGCTTCACTTCACATATTTTGGGCATGTTGCTAGGAGGGACTATTCCTTGGAGAAGGATGTGATGTTTAGAAAGGTGGAGGGTTGGCGAAGGAGAGGAAGACCCTCGATCAGGTGGATTGACATAGTGATTTCCCCATAGGCTCTTGTGTGTCAGGAAGTGTGAGGATGGCACAGGACAGGACACGGTTCAGATCTGTTGCTCAGAGGGTTGCTGTGGGTCATACTTGACTTGATGCCACATGACCACTATTTATTATCTGTCTCCAATTACCCAGTGAACAACAAGGGACTCTATTTAAAAACCAAACCAAGACATAAACCAACCAACAAAACTTTCTGGTTTGACTTTTTTGTTTGCTTCTTTTGTTTTGAGTTTGTTTTGTTTCCCCCCCCCCTTTCTTGTTGCATACCATCCAGTCGGATCCAGCTGGCACAGGAGGAGATTGCCCCTCCTTCTCCAGCGGAGCATCTGGTGGATTCGAACCACGGGCCTTCGGGATTGCAGTGCACTAGCTCACCAGAGCTCCCCTCCAACAAACCTTTTTATTGTTTGGGTGAACATTTATGGAGTAAATTAGTTTTCCATTCAACAATTCCTGCACATTTTGTCTTGTGACGTTGACTGTAAATCCAACAACATAACAGCACTTTCCCCACTCCCTCTCTGTGGTCCCAGTTTCCTTTCATCCTTGTTCTCCATCCCTTCTTGCCTCCTGGACCATCTCTGCTGCTGTCTGGGTCCCACGTGGTTGTTTGCTCTGAGTACTGAAAGCCTTCTTGTGTCACTGATCGTTTTATATGAGCAGCTCTGCTGTGGGGCTGAACTGTCATGTTTCATATGGTCGGAAAGTCAGCAAAAGAGAGGAAGACTCTCCGGGAGATAGATGGACAGAGAGACTTCTGCAGGGGGCTTGAACTCGCAGGGATGGAGACGAGCACGCAGGACAGGGTAGCTTTTATTCTGTTGTTTATGGAGTCATTGGAGTCAAAGTTGATGCAGTAACCCAACAACCAGCACCCAAGCCCCTAGATGTGCAGTGAGCTGGTAGATGTGCCGTAAGTTATTGTTAAATCATGGATTTTGGGTTTTGTTGTCAAGAATATACACAGCCGGTCATAGGTGATTCAGCAGTTTGCACATTCACATTGACATCGATGCTATTGTTCAAGTCATTCTACCGTGATTACACAAACTCTCTATCGTCCCGTCAGTGACTCCACATAAATGGACAGATGCTGGAGGCAGACACACTCCAGAGGGCTGTGGATGTGTTGGGCTGATACTTACGCATAGTAACCCCACGTGCAGCAGCAGAGTGGGCCCTCCACTGCAATGTGGGTCCTCCGCTCCCCTATGCAGGCCTCTGCTCCCATGCGAGCTGTCTGCTCTCATGTGGGCCCTCCTCTCGTGTAAACGCCCTCCTCTCCCGTGCAGGCCCTCCGCTCCTGTGCAAACGCTCTGCTCTCATGTGGGCTGTCTGCTCCTGTGTGGGCCTTCCTCTCCCGTGGAGGCCCTCTTCTCCCGTGCGGGCCGTCAGCTCCCATGCTGACCATCCACTCTCATGTGGGCCGTCTGCTCCAGTATGGGCCCTCCTCTCCTGTGGAGGCCCTCCTCTCCTGCGCAGGTCCTCAACTCCCGTACAGGCCCTCAATTCCCATGCAGGCCGTCCGCTCCCATTTGGGCCCTCTGCTCTCCATGCAGACCCTCTGCTCCTGTGCAGGCCTCGACGTGTGCTCACCTGTACTCGTGTCACAGCCACCCTGCCAGGCCATCTCATGTCCTCTTTTCTGCTGACTTTCTATTTTGTCCCAAAGATTCTGTCTTTCTCCAAGGACTGGCTCCTCCTGGTAACATGACCATAGCAGGTGCCCAGAGGGCCACCAAGCAGCTCTTCTTCCAAGACCCATCTGGCTGTTGTGGGGGTCCATCTTCACCAGCACCCGCATTCTTTGGCCTTCCTTGTTCATGGTCCATGTGTATGTGAAGTGACGGGAAATACCATGGCATGAGTCGGATGGGGCTTACTACCCAGAACGACATCTTTGTTTTGTGTTTCTGTAAAGTCCTTGACAGCAGGTTTGACCAATGTGATTCATCATTTGATTTCTTGGCTGCTGGTTTCGTGAAACCCTTGACAACTTCTGTCCTCTCTTCACTTATCACAATGTTACTCTGGCTTCGTTGTGCGGGCTTATGTTCTTTATGTTGAAGTATAATCCATACTGAAGACTATAGTCTTTGTTCTCCATCAATAAGCACCTCAAGTCCTCTTCACTTTCAGCAAGTGAGGTTGTGTCATCTGCATAACGTAGGTAATTGATGAGCCTTCCTCCAAAACTGACGCTTCATTCTTCTTCATAGGGTCCAAATGCTTGGATTATTTACTCAGTATATTCTTCTAGGATATTCTTCTCAAACATTCTTCTAGGTCATATAGCCCTGGTCTGTCCACTTGCTGTACAGAGGTAACTCATGGCTGCTGTGAAGCTGAACACTGTGACGCTGATGTGTCAAATACAAGAATGGTTACCCATGCTGGACAGTGTTTGGTGGAGCTCCCCGATTAAAACATTCTTGGAAGGAGGAGTGGCATCCACTTCCGAAATAGCTTGCCTCCAGAAACCCTATGAACCTGGAGAAAGGACTAAAAGTTATACAAGTGTCCAGGTCTTTTGTTCCTATGGTCGCTGTGAGTCACCTACAACTCGACAGGCCTTAACAACAACAACACATAAATTGACTAAGTATGGTGAAAAAAATAAAACCCTGGGATATAATAGCATTTTCTGATTATAAACTACACAGTATCTCCTTGTTCAGTTCAAACACCCAGCTTTTGAACTATGGACAGGTTCTGAATGAGCACAATTAAGTGTTCTTGAATTCTCATTCTTCTCAATGTTCTGTCTACAGTTTGTTACTGTCCACACACTCAGATGCCTTTGCATAGTCAATAAATAAGGTGAACATCTTGCTGGCCCTCTTTGCTTTCAGCTAGGATCCATTCATCCGACATCAGCAAGAATGTCCGTCATTCCATGTCCTCTTATGAACCTGGCTTGAGTTCCTGGCAGTCCCCGGTCAATGCACTGCGGCCAACTATTGTTTTTTCCATTATCTTGAGCAAAAGCATACTTGTGTGTGATGTTCATGATGCTGTTGGATAATTTTTCACGTTCTGTTGGATCACTTTTCTCGGGGATGGTTGCAGGTGGGGATGTCTTCCAGCCGGTTGGCCAGATAA